GCAAGACAAGACGGGAGACAAGGGGAGACTGCCGGCGCACCATCAGGTTCCCAAGCTACAAGAAATCAAACAAGAAAAGACCATGACAAAACTGAAGGGATACAATCCAGTTCCCAAGATATAAGAAAAAGAGACAAGATGAGGTTCTAATGGGAGACGATAAGACAAGAAACAAGGTTCAAGGGGAGACCCTGCAAACCATCCGACCCCAAAGTAGCACCATCCGGTTCCTAAGCTACAAGAAAGGAGACCAGAGGAGATTATGATGGGAGACTGGCCATTTCTGGGACTCCCAGTTCCCAAACTACCAGTACAGAACACGTGCATTTTTTCATGAAGCGGCGAAGCGCGAACGGCCTCCGCGTGCCCAAGAACGGCTTCCAACGTGCCCAAAATCCTGCTATCTGGCGTCCCAAACGGCCTCCACGGCACCCGAAACGGCACCCTGAAACCGCATCGAGACAGACCCCTCGTCACCTCCGTTCTCGAGGCCCACGAGGACACCTCCCGAAAACCCTCCTGCCCTGGGGTCTGGCCCGCGAAGCACGGCTAAATTTGACCACTTCTGGGCTTTCCTAATCCCCACACCCCCTTAGTACAGATCAGCAAAGCTGGACTCAGACGAAAGCTTGGGAAGCTTTCGTAATTATGATGGGAGACAAGGACTGGTGATCCCCGGCAACCCCAAATGGTTCCCAAGCTATGAGAAGGGAGTAGCAGATTGTAATGGGCGACGAGCACTGGCAATTTCCTAGGACCGCAGGCAGTGAAGCTAAAAGAACGAAGACGAGAGGAAATTCGTGATGGGAGACAAGGACTGACAATTTCCCGGACTCCAGACCGCACCATGCGGCTACCACGGGCTCCCAGACTACAAGGAAGACAAGAAAAGATCATGATGGGAGACAAGGACTGGCGATTTCCGAGACACAACAGGAAATCATGACGGGAGACACTGCGATTTTCCGGGACTCCAGGCAGTACCATCCGGTTCCCGAGCAGACAAGAAGGGAGACAAGAGAAGATCATGGTGGAAGACACAGACTGGCGACTCCAGCGAACGCCTGGCAGCAACAGCCGGCTCCAAGGCGACAAGAAGGGAGACAACAACACATCATGATTGCCGACAAGGACTGGCGATTCCCCGCGACCCCGTGCAGTGTATCTGTTCTTGCGGAATGCCAAGCTCAAAAAATGAGCTAGTAACCTCTAACGGCCAACAAGTGCGCAACGCGGAATGCCTGGTAAGGTTGAACATGATTGCTCAGTCTGTCAGAGTCTATCACCGTGATTCCCCTTTTCCCCTCCCCTCCCCTTCCCTCCCCCAAAATGACGGAAAGCACCGGGCACACACACGCACTGGACGTCCTCACCATGTTGCAAGCTAAGACATCCCACAGACGCACCATGATGTACCATGAGCTCAAACAGAATGTAGAGTGGCCAAGGCGAATACGATATGCTCCGGGGCCAGGAGTGTTTGCCCCGAACTCAGCTTGCCTGAGGCATGTGCATCAACTGGTCAGAAAGTCGCTTACACTATGGTGGATTTAATTCGAGAATGTCTGGGACGACTGCAGGCGAGCTCTTTGTCGCGCCGTGCCGAAGCCTGCAACTTGCGACCATGCACACGTCAGCAAATCGTCAGATGTAGCAAAGCAAGTTACAATACATTTTTGCGCTGAGCTGTCGGCTGAAGCGTGGCGTGCGGGTGCTTGCAGTTGCCGTGTGGTACTCCTGCGCGGGGAAAGCATGACAACAGCCAGAGCTGTGCTAGTCAAGGCCCTGGGATGCCTGGGACCAGTTGCTTGCAAGCAGAGCCTTATTCGCCTTATCCTTATATGGCCTAGTATAGATCGTTCACTTGCCTTTATGTACGGGTTGCCGGCCGGCGAGCAATCTCTGCAGTCACATGTATGGCAGCACGTTGATGCAGAGTCTCCCCGGGGCCAGGAATCTGCTCGACTTCAACGTGGTCCTGCAGACGCAAACTTCCACTTCTAGCTTGTCATCCTTCAACAGGTTGCACACTCACATCACAAAATCATGAGGTCAACTAAGTTTTACCATCTGTTGTGCTGGCCTGAGGGCGTCGAGGTGTCATGCTGACCTTGGGGCCACCCTTCCTTCACGAGTCAGCTTGCGAAAAGACCACAGGCTATGTGCAAAAGCATGCGGTGTCCTGAAGTCTGGCAGGTTGTATGACCCAGGACCAGGGGCCTAGACAAGTGTCCATGTGTACGATTGCAAGGTAACTCCTTATCTTGCCACATCTAGGCAAACACCAGGCCCCGCCACCTTCTGGCGGCGCTGCACAACCTTGGCCTGCAATTAACAAGCCCAGCGATGCCTTAGCCAAACAAAAATCTAGATTTCAGGTGGCAGCCTCTCTCCGTGGGGTACACGAAATTTTTGTTGCATCGCTGCCGAGGACCATGGCCACCCTTAGACACTGAGCCGATTCTCCATCATGGTCTTGAAACTTGGGAAACTGGACGAAGCCCAGTGGCGTAGCTGAAACACATGTTTCTTGTCCAAAGTTTATGCAGTTTGTGTTGCCTCCAGGATGTACTCTGGAGAGACTTCCACAACCGTCAGAAAACCCAATCTGACGGAATCGTGGGAATGACCAGGGGTCTGCAGCATCGGGCAGGACTGCCTCTTCCCTACGTGGACGACAGATCTTGTGGTCTGTATTTGTCATTATTTGTCTAGAAGACGAGCCAGGCCCTTTAGCCCACAGGTGATGCACCCTTTTTATTTGTTGTTTGCACTACTGGTCATTGGAAAATTGTTGAGTGCGTTATCGTTTTCCAAGTTTCGGGGTATGTGCTGACGTTGTCATTTTTGGTGAGTGTGTTATCGAGTTTCAATCAAAAACCTTCTGTCACGAATCCAATGTCCAGCGCTTAATATCTCCTATGACTGATAAATAACCGCGCGGAGGCGGGCGTAACCTGAACTGCCCTGCGAATGATATTTTTTCCATGAACCCAGCTGATGCCAGGACCTTGCCATCCAGCTCAGAAAACTGTTCGCAACGCACCGCATACACTGTTGTCAACTGGTTTGAATTTCTTGTCGCGATTGTTGCCACGTGTGGATCATGGTCGATGCAAGATGTGTCAAGCTCCAGGCGCATAGGATCCCGGGCCCGGCGTCTGGTTCCTTGGCTACTTCTTGCAACTGATGTTTCCGCATTTTGCCGGCTGGTCTGTCCAGGTCCGGGCTTGGGGCCCGGCGTCAGTTTCACCAATCGGGTGTCTGTGCCAAACCCAAAGCGAGGCAATCGCTTGTGCCTAAACAGTGTTCGCGCTGCCACAACATTTTTCAGCACTGTTGAGCAAGGCCTCGAATTTATGTCTGTGCTTGGATCCATATAACTTCCAGGACCCGGAGCTTTTGACCTGCGCACGCAAGCTGAAATGAAAATCCGCCTAATCGGCATCACCTTGGCCTTGCCTGCTTTGGCTTGCCTTTGACCGGGAACCAAAGCTGAACCTTAGGGCATGTTGAGCCTTCCGTCTGCGCTCCCAGGAATTTTTAGGCACTGCCACTGTGGGGAGGCTGTTGACGTTGATAGAGCCTGACAGCCAAATTCCATGCTTCAAACAGTTCCAGTCTCTTTCAATCCTTGCCTGGAACGCTTTTGCGGCATCCGGAACGTCATGAGGTTGAGCTGTCTGTGTCGCTACTTGCGCCGCTCGTAGCTGCGTCGTCTCGGCAGGTTTTGCTTCGTGCATTCTTTAGAAGCCATGTGTGAAATCCTATGCGCCTCTGCCACAAAGGCAGTGGATGGCTGGGTGGGACCTGCCTGTTCAAGTCTCTTCACGTCTTGTCCTTGCTTAAACTCTGTTGCCCGTGTCGGTCCTTCTACTACAGCCAACTTTCCTAGCGCTCGCAGGGCCCATTTCCAGCTTTGGGAATTCTACGGCGCACGACCATCTCGATCTATTAGCGACCAAGCAGCCCAAACGCCTTACTTGGAAGGCTAAACCAGGAGTGGTTTGCTACAGCTGCCACAACTAAACAGTCTTAAACCAAGACCATCACTTGCCACAGCCTCTGCTGGAACATCATTTGCACCAACGTCATCCTTGTTATTCTACGCGGCCCTTCACAAAGCTACTTGTCATAGCAGAACAAGGAGCTTGAGGCGCGGACGGGCTGCCTTAGCCAGAGAATTCAAGGGAATCTCACATGAAGAGCTGTTACTAAGAAGACTTTGTGGGACAAATCCCGCGATACCACCTAGGCCCTGGAAGCGGATGCACACTTGATGCTCATGCTGCAGCCGTCTTTGCATCTACATATGTACGTGTACGTGCTCCAGTGCACGCCTTTAAGCCTTAACATGGCAAATAGTGGCATCTATTCCAGCCTAGGAGCATCGCATCGATCAACATTGCAGCTTGGATGCAGTGCTGCCAATATACTTACTAGCCAAACTGTGCAAGCAGGAAGAGACTTGCAGAAAGCCATCTGGAATGACAACGTTGCAGTGAAATCATCGTGCAAGCCCACTTGATGTTTTGAGCCGATTCGTCTGCATAAGAGAGCAGGCACTGGCCCCACAGCAATTGAAGTCCAATCGTCTTGCTTCTATATGTTGTAGTCTGTCATTGTCAAGCGCTCGAGCTTTGTGCCTTGCATCTTGCCTTTACTCATGAAATAACACACATCCCTCTCAATTCTGCTCAACGCGAAGTCTGAGACTTCAGCACCTGCTTGAAATAATTGGGGCAGGCGGCAAGCCTTGCCTCCTGTGCTGCACATAACAGGCAGGGCAACACAGCTAAAGATTGCCTCTCAGGCAGCAGTAAAGCACTTGTCAGGCAGAGCCTCTAAACTACTGGCTCGAAGCTGCCTGAAAAAGACTGCAAGCTGCACATGACTCTCAGGCTTCAAGCATCCAAGCTAGGAATGATGCAACCATCTGGTGATACCTGGTGTACCGAAGCTTGATAAAGCTTTCTGTACTCTGACTTCGCCAAGGGCTGTTAGTCGTACTTTGTCGCGTTTCGGCGAAGGATTTCCTGCAGGCACGTGACCGCAGCATGTCATTTTCTGAGCTTGAACGTTGCGAGCGATGACGTTCAGTTGCCATGTCTCCTCCAAGGGTCCAAGCAGGCGGTTAAATGTACGGCGCGAGAGTGTGTAGCACCTGCCAGCTTTGCATAATCGAAACTCGCAGAAAAATATGTGTAAACGCAGCGTGCGGCACTTGCACTCTGTCAAAGCGATCACGCTGGCCGCTCGCGGCCTAGCAGAGGGACAGCAGCTGAGCCGAGCAGAGCCAACAATTGGAGCGGAGCTGAGCCCGCTTCTCCCCTTTGAGGAGCGCCAGCTCTCCAAAGTAGTCTCCCGGGCCAAGTTTAAGCACCTCACTCCGCAGATTTTCGCAGCTGGAAATATCACAGGCATTTCGCAATGAGGAACTGCATGGAGCATAGACGCATAGAGCATGAGGTGCACCCTGTTTGAGATTCCTTTGCTAGGTCAGCCAGTTGTGGCTGCATATGGCCTGTGAAGTAAATCTTCACGCTGTCCCAACATGTTCCAGCATCTTCTGGTGACGTTATTTTGGCCACAGTATCTTTTGCTTGGCAACTAGACTAGACGAACTAAGGGGGGTACATCACGCCGAACGCATTACAAGTCTAGCTGCAGATCAGCGAACATTCCGCCAAAGCGAATGAACGTCAGCACAGGTACGCAGTTGGGATTTGGAATTCAGGGACCTACAGCATGCCACAGCAGCAAATCTGGACCCAGTGTCTAATGTAGAATTACACCGCCGAAATCGCACACAGCCAAAGCCAAGTGAAACGAAGCAGGAGGCTTCTACTTCTGTTGTCGAGAATAGTGATTGAACGCAACAAGATAAAAAGGGAGCCAGCTACTGAAGCCCCGGCCGAGCCCCACACAAACCGGCCCTATATGAAGTGTGTCAAGGAGATGCAAGCAGATTTCGAAGACCCTCGCGCACTAGCCACACTAAGAAAAACAAAAGAGACCAGGCAGGAGGCAGGCTTCCTCAACCTCGACATCAACCCGACAAAATCTACCAACACAAACCATGCCGAGCCCCACAGTAAATTGCTTGGGGAATGAACTCAAAGTTGTCAGTTATGGAACGTCGATACGATCATCTAGTCATCAATCAGAACGCTGAAGCTAACCAAGGAAGCACGAACTACGCAAGAACCGTGCTTGGAATTAGCATATACTGCCATACATCACCTCGCAAATCTTTGCAGGAAGACACGACACCAAAATCAGATGCCGCGAGAGCGAATACCAAGAGCGGCGGATATGAACACGTGGAAACGACATTGGCTTAAAGGCATGAGCATCCTCTCCTTGCGATTCCTTGCAAGATTCAGGGCTGGTATGGTTGGTGGGCATGGGTCTCCCTGCAGACATGTATTCGCCCTCAGTTGCAACAGGCACTCCCAAAAAAGCATTTGCAGTATCAAGGATTCAAGCAGTCAAGCAAGCCCCTTCCTCAAATCTCAACAATAAGATCTCCCAAGGAGGAGATTGCTATTTTGTCAAAGCAGCATCCTTCCTGCCAATAATTAAGCTCGGGACCTCTTTGGCCGGGGTGCCTGCAACATATACCTGCAACGCGAGCCAAAAAGCAACACTGATCTCTGCCTAGACGACTGCAATGGTGCGCATCAGTTCCCTGCAGGAGGGCCGGAGCCGGAAAGGTCAAGAAAGGTCATTATGGAAGGGCTGGGCCTTGGACACGGTTGCAGAGCCGTCCTGCAAGATGTAGAACACATCGCCGATGTCACCTTGCTGCACAATGACGTCGCCCTGGCTCAATTACGAAAGCTGAGATTAAGTAGCCTTCACCGGTGTGAGTTTAATAGATTGGCACTGAAGCCAATGTCTGCTGAGCCTGCGCGAAGGAAGTCGGCTGCAATGCATCGCATAGCGAGCTTCGCTCGTAGGCCTCTCTTCTTGGCTAGGAGAAAAGCCGCTTTCACAAAATCTCCGATGCGTAAGGCACTACTACTGTAAGGAACTGGCATCCATGCCTTTGAGCAAGGGGACCTTGAGGAGGAACTCCTCAAGAAGAGCTTGCTACAATTTGCAAAGCATGTTGACTTACCTTTGCTTCATCATCCTCGAGCTGGTCACGATGGGCAACCGCTGCCTTCTTCACCTTCCGCAGCCAACTAGCTTCAGCAAAATCAGCCAGAAGAAGCATGAAGGCCCCACGATGTTGTTGAAGCTCTCACGGCCCAACTCCCACAGGACGGACCTGCCAACAATGGCCAAGTCATGAATTCTGCGGCAGGACCTGGCAAGGGCTCCTGCCTTTCAGCAGCTTGGACTGAGGCAGCTCGTGGACAGTTGTACAGCAAAGCTAGCCTCAGACGTCATCACATCATCATCACACACACGTCTGAAAGGCTGTGGATCATCAACCACCCATCGAAGTAGGCCAAAAACTCTCCAAATGCATCTCCAGACGTGCACTCCTGAAGTGCTACAATCAGCATGGTGGCCTGGCTACACCTGATATGATATCATCACTCACGATACTATTCTCCTTCACCATGTCTTCGGCGCCATCCTGTCGACGGATGTAGCAGTTCATCTGCCCCTCCTTCCAGTCGAGCCGGTCACTACGATCAGCTCTGACATCCTACGACGAATACGTTGAGGCTGCGCCAGGCTTCTCCTCAACGACATACAAGCAGTCGCCATCCTCACCTTGATTGATGAGCCGCGTGTCCTGGCAAAGGTTGCATATCAGGTAAAGCTTCGACACCCGTGGCAGTGTGAGGTGATCGTGTTTCGGCACCATTGCGTAGAAATACCCACGCAAAAGCAAGAGAGCGCGTAAACGACAGACTTGACTAAAAAGGCAGGGAGGGTGCGAGGAAGAGAGAGAGAGAGTGAGAGAGCAAGAGGCAGAGACAGAGACTGCGCGGAGACTCACGACACAGTGAGTCGGAACCTTCTCCACGATCTTCTCCTGCCGTGACTTAATACGTCTGGCATACACTCTGGTCTCAAGAAGGCATGGCACGCAGGACATGAAACCTTTGGAGCAACAATCGCATTACCAAGCGACAGGTCCACCAGTCCCTATACTCGCAATATCACAAAATTATGGCTGCCTTCGCCGAAGATTCCGCCACGCGGTTGAAAGTAGCACTGGTTGTCAGAAGTTGATAGCCACGTGCACATGTTGCCGTTGCCTGCATTGCGTCAATGACAATCTTGATGTCCGGAGACTCGAGGCCCGAAAAGAGGAAGGATTCCTGCATGATGGGGTGGGCAGGAAACATGATGGCAAAGTATGGCCGAAGCACGCAACTGTGTTTGCCTCCATTATGATCAAGCGCATGTGACTGGCGACATATTATGCCCTTTTCTCAATCTGCTTATGCTTTCACACCAGAATTAGATAGACTTTGCATCTGAAACGTGAGTGAAGGATCGCTTGGTTTTTGGTTACCCGGCACAACGACGTAGGCCAGTAGCATCAGGCTCATTGGGTCCCTTCCGTACAGGTTCTTGCAGCATCCGGAAGAACGATCTACGAGAATAATACAAGTTTGTTGCACTCGAGGCTTCATGCGTTGCCCTAGCCTGACATGCAAAAGTTTTTGCGGAGCCGTCTGGAACACTTCGGTTTCGGAGTGTCTGGTACTTCGTCACTATGTAACGCCATTCTGCATTGCTGATTGGATGTTGAGCCTCACAGATTTTGACGGTCTGGAGAAGTCCGCTCTTAGGTTTCATGAGGAGAGACATGCAAGTCCGTCTAGCAGCCCAGCCAACTGACAGAAGCTCTGAAACTCTCCACACCTAATGGCACAACCTGTCGTCCACCACCCGAGTAGTGACGCAGGCTCCAACCAACACGCGCTCTGGTGCCGTATCATCCGCGATGGAGGACAAAGTCTGCCCATCGTTGCAAAAAGTCATAACTGAACCATGGATTGATGCATCAGGTTTCTCCTCCTGAAGCGCACGGTCCGCGCAACGAATGACTACGCATGAGTATGTCAAGCCATACCACTCGCTGAGTCTAGGAGTTTGAAAATGGATGATAATAGGAGTCTAATCAGTTCACTCTTGCGTTTGGGGAGACCGGCAAACATTTGCCAAAAGCCCGGGCGAAGCTGCTCACAAGGTCAAAATGAAATTCTGCGAACAGAAGCCTGACGGATCCTTCCTCCACTGCCCACTGCCAGTCCACTGCCCAAGAGCGCCAAGAACATCAGGCTGAGGAACAAAAGCAACAAGGCGAGCACCGCTCGGGCACCAAAGGAGGCGAAAAAAAACAAGACAAGGAGACTGCCGAACAGATAGCAGAACTACACAAGAGCGAGACGTATGCAACGAAATCAAAAGATGGCGGGCCATAAAACGTGATGGCGGAGTCGGAGAGACAGGTGCATCGCAGTTGTTGCCTACCTCTTCTGAGTCTCAACATCTAGCAGCTGTATGGGTGTTGTGTGCAACCAGTACAGCTGTCTCACTTCTCTTTTTTTGCCTCATCAGGCAGACACCAGCACAAGAGCAAAGCGCAGAGGGTTGATAACGGTGACCTTGAAAATGGCGCCACTCAAGGCGATTTGGCCTGGAAAATGCCTGATCCCGTTGGCAGCAGTACGCCACTTTCAAGGGTTGTGCAAGGTGTCCTGTGCTTAGCAAAGCCTCTGTACGTCCAATCAGCGGGCTTCGCAGGGGTTACAAGATCCCGAGAGTCGTAGATTTGCAGTCCTTAAGAACGTTCGCAAGTCTTGTTTTCTGCTCGTCCGACTTCTCATAAACCTGAACTGAATTCATACGCAGCTTCTTGCAAGCTGCCTGCGAAGATCAAGCTGAGGCTCGTGACGGGTGCAACAAATGCCTTCTCAGGATTCCATTGTCCATACGCCTCATGCAGAGACCGGATGGCCAGAATGATTCAAGAAATATGCCTAACATGAACAATCATTAATCGAATAAAACTATAAAAAAAAAAAAAAAAGCTGTCACCTCCGCCGACACAGAAGCACGATGTCCTGCAATCACACCATGTGCCAACACAAGTTTTCTTTCTACGTGCCTCTATTCAGATTCTGTGGACTAGGAAGGCTGTCCTCGGGATGTCAAGGCAGGCGGAGGTACGACGTCCTCGAGCCAGCCAGCCAACAAGCACAAGGGCAGGTCGTTCGTTTCATCTGGCACTCTTGCACAGCGGATTTGGCATGTTTTAGTTTGGCATCGGTTTGATGGGCACCTCAACCTCCTCATCATCTTCACTTTCTTCCATGGACTGCAAAGCGTCGACCTCACACACACGCACTTCGGGGAGCTGACGGCTAGTAGTAGGCCGCTGGGCTTCCCGACTGCTTCTGAGCCGGCCGTTAGAGGGCCGGTCTTGTCGCCGCGCTTGGCCTCCACCTTCTCGGGTCCATGAAATGCTGGGCTTGGGCGCCTGTCGCGTGGATTTCTGGAGGATGGCGTCTGGCTGACATGCCCTGGCTCCTACAGTAAGGAAGGTTTGCCTGCGCGTGCTTTCCCATGCTTGGTTTGGCTGGTCTCGGGGGTTCTTGCAGTTTGCAACGTTTTCTCCCATACATCCAATTCAAGAGTATGCTCCGCTGAACGGCAACCGCTGCAAACAGCAAACAGCTGCAACCCGCCTGAGCCTCCAGCTCGCGAACCTCCTCCTGGCCATGAACTCTCTCGTTGCATGCCACATTCGTCGCTTCCAACAAACATATGATCAGAACTCCAGCGTTCCCATACGATTCATATCCCTCAACTGCGCCTTTTACTTCCTGATGCTACAAGCGCCTATAAGAATCTAAGACGCACTACTGAAAGACGCTCTACTGAAACAATCAAAGGCATCAGAGATTGCACATAGAAGCTGTGCAGCCGCTGCCTTAGCCAAGCAGGCCCGAATCTGTGCCACGATTGACCGTGCTTAGCTCTATGCAATCTTTGCTGGCACCGTGGTGCGCAGCCTTGTTACATCAGAACAATCGGGAAACAATCAGATATCTCCCGCAGGCCCTTCGGCGGAGCTTCTGAGCGATTTGAACTTGGTTTTACCGTCCGCGGCACGGAGAACACCAGTGTGGTCAAAGCATGCTTTTGCGATCATGAAATCCATTTTTTGGAGCAAACGCAGATTGACGTGCCCTTTGCCACAAAAAGTGCGCAGAAATCTTCCAGAGTGCCTGCAACTTCTCCATTTCGAGTTTGAGCTCACCTCTCCAAAATCCAAGTGCGGCTGCATGCATGCCTCTGAGTGACGCATGTTGCGCCAAGGCGCTTAAAACGTTCACGCCCTCAGTCAAGGCAGCAGCTGCTGGCCTCAGGATATCAAGGTATTAGTTAAACATGTAACTTGGCGCACAGAGAACGAGCGCAGTACGTTTTTGAGTTCTGGGAAAGCCACTTGATCATGAATGGAGCAAGCCTCAATGGCACATGCCGACAGTTGGCAGTTTTGCCTGCAATCATGCTGTCAGAGAAACTGTTCAGGGCGCTCCAGCAGCAGTTGCGTAACCTTTGCAGCAGACACAGCCGTGCCCTGCTCAACCTCAAGTCTCTGAGGATGTGTCCAAATTTTCAAGGATTGGATTCACCTTCTGCTGAATGTACTCTTGCGGCTCCTGACAGCATATTTGGTATGAAATGTGCGCAAGCACCCCACTTGCAGCAGTGATGCTCCTGCGCCATGTCGGCGAAAGGGCGTCAAAGCCCCGGCGCTCACAAGATGTCTATACACGGACTTGCTTGCCGGCGGGGCTCTTGCAAAGATTTTGGCAGCTATGCCAGCTGGCATTCTTTGTATAGGGCTCGTAGATCGAGATGATAAATGGCATGGGCTGCAGCACTGCGAAATACTGCAAAGGTAGCGAGGCTACATCAGAGCTTGACAAATGGCGACAACATGAACATTGAACTCGCTCGTCCTGAGCCTGTGGGCCTCTTGTCCACAGCTTGAATCGCTCTTGTGCAGAAGACCTAATTTTTGCATTTCTGCAATTCGAATCCGCGCGCTCATTGGCGCGAATCTAGGACATTTACTGGCTGACCACCTTAGCAAATGGTCTAACTCTGGCGGATCCCAGCTGGGCTTGCAGGAGCTGCTTGTGGGTCCTGGAAGCGTCAATCAGACAACCCCGAATGCAGCCCAAGCTTCTGACATATAATGACACAGGCACCAAGTCCTTGCAACATGGACACCAGCGAATGACAAGCATAATCAATCCCAGGAGGCACAGGCCACCTGGCAGCTAGAGGACACGAAACAAAAGCCTCGAGCTCACTGCACTATCGTGTCACGCGTACTGCTCGCGGCGACAGAAGTTATCTCAAACTGCTGGAAAAACGCCTTCAGGAATTCCAGCCTCCAAGCACTATGTACACAATCATCCAGAAGCCCCATTTCTGCAGCAGGAAAATGGAAATCGAACCTTGGCACGCAGGACGCAGCCACCCCGAGTTTTGAGATACATTGTTGTTCGTTCGGGTTTCTGATCATGTTGCGCTCTGGGTTGATCGCCACCCGCCCCACCCTGCCCCACCCCGCCCCACCGCTCCCTTCGGCCCACTACCCTCCAGCCTCCGAGGCAGCCCTCGGGCTGTACCGTCAGCCATGTCAGATGGAATGCTGGGAAGCAGGCCAACATAGAAATAGAACAGTGCTCTGCCTGCCATGATGGCAAGAAAAAGTATAATGCCCAAACGCGCTCGATGAATGACGAGAGCGTGAAAACAGGATGCGAAGGCCAGTTTGACTGGCAAGGAACTGACAGTACAGGAATATCCTTGGCGTTCGAACAGCACCAAGGCAGCCATCAGTGTTTGCAGGAAGATGCAGGAAGCCAGTGGCAGACTGGATACCAACCTGCCGCCCTTTTGCTCAGCTTTGCAATTCGTTGCTCTATGAAGGCCTCAAGATTCACAGAACCGAGACTCTTGGATTGTAGTCCAAAGACTTTGTTCGCCCATTCCTGGCACAGGTCAGGCTTTGTTCAAAACAAATGGGGCTCATGAACCTGTGCAGCAAGTGGACAAGAGCTTGAACCTCCTTCATGTCTATGATGCAGATGACAAGGCCAAAGATGAATGTGTAGACATTCTGCAAGGAGTCCTCGTCTTTCTGGCTGAACATAAGCGCACATGACTTCATCATCGGTCATTTTCAGCCGGGACAACTAAGGTCATATCCCTCGCTGTCCAGTGGTCCTGGAATGAAGGTCAGCTTTGCTGTGGAACCGCAGCTTGGTTAATAGATTCGCAGCACAGTTTCGGAGACGCATATGTGCATCTGCACGTCGCTGCTCTGAAGTTATTTGCAGCAAAACTCCAGCCTCATCACTGATCTGCGCCACGCCCACCTCTGCGGAGGAACGCGCAAGCGTGCTGACAGGAAGCACTGCTAGCGAAGGCTGGTTTGCAGTACTGTACAGCAGCTTGATTGCTACGCTCGTGTTGCACAAATATCTGAAGCAGATCTATATTGCAAGATGCGGCATCACGTGGCAGTGAGATTGCCTCTTCAAACAATGCGCAGCAAAGACAGAGTCGCGGACTATACTGAGGATGCTGATTGTGGACAATGCGAGTCCAGCCAAGCAGCAGAAGACCTTCGAGGTTCTTCACGTGAAGCTAACTGGTCAAGTCGGAGCATCTTTTTGGCCTTGACTCCCGACGGATTGTGCTGAACATAGATGGAAAGGCTTACGACACCCCGCTGCGCTGCAGCGGCACCTTGCCGAGAGATCTCCCAGAGCCACTATATGCCGCTAGCCCTTGGCAAAATGCCAAGGCGTTGACCCATTCGAGCTCCGGAGAGCGCAGCATTTCCTACAGCAGCAGCCGCGCCAGCCTGAGAACGTATGTGACAGGCTGACCAAATAAGCGCCCGCAAGCCCATGTAGGTTTCCAGCTGCTCCGTCGTTTGGCGCACCAGACATTTCAATATGTTGCACAAATCTAACCTAGCAGTATCATTTCACCAGAGCCACAGCTGGGCTGCTGTCTCAAGGCCAGCATCGAGCAAGACTGAGATCGGAAGCTGACATTATCTCTTATGAACAGAAACCATGAACAGGTCGTTGCAAAGTTGCAAAGCCGGCAGAGATTTGAGTGCCTACTCATGTCTCTTTATTAAACGTGTTTTGCGGCGTGCCATGCCAAATTCGCCTAGACTATGTCTGGACCGTCGACTGGTGAAACAGCAGGCGCACAAATTGACCTATGACAAATGGCTTCTCTGTGGCAAGCATGACATACATCTCTGTGCGAATTTTGTTTTGGCGCCTGTCTGGTGAGACCTGAGCCCCTTGCAATGCCCTAAGGACTATGTGAATCTGCTGCTCATCTGCACAGGGAATTGCAAGGTCACAGCGGGATGGCTAATCGGCGAAAATCTCGTCGGTTTTGCCTTGTGCCGCATCAAGAATCTCCGAAGCAGCCCAGCCATCTACGAGTAAGGCCCAAGCTGAAGTACTTGACCTGCGGCCAAAGGCGCACACAGCATTTCCGCAGTTGGACCATGGTGCCAACTGTGCCCACATTGATGAATGACCGCCATTTGGTTGCTATTTCCGGGGCTCAACCTTTCACCAGTTGGCTTTCTTCGTTAAATTAAACTGTTGTTCCTCTCCCCGTTGCGCTTCGTATGCATCTTTCCAAACTTCTGGATTCTAGTTGCTTGAAACTTGTCCTTGTTTATTCCTTATCTGCTCGCAGCAATTCCTCTTGTCTCGCCAAGCAGGAGACGCCTCACGATGCCAACGCTACCACTGCGCACTGAGAGCTAAAGGCCAAGTTTTCAACGCGAGGCAGTGCCAGGACTTTCGAGGGGCGCGGAATTAGATTTTCGCCTGGCGTCGGCGGCTCTAAGCTGGCGGAATTGAACTGAGGGACCTGCTAGATTCCAACACATTCCACGAACATCTCACCGCTTCAGAGCAGCTTTGAGGGTTGCAGGGGTCTTGGAGCCATCTGCAGTACCTGAACATACTGCTCACATTCGACCTTGGGAAATGCATTCCATACAGCATGCAGGTGGTATGCAAGCGCGAACGTGTCAGAATGCGTGATTCAAAGGCCTTGGAAGGCGCAGAGGCAGGGATATTGATATGTAATATTTCCATAGCCATCACCAGCAGCAGTACCTAGCCCTAACTCATAGGCATCACATTAACATCATCAGAACCATCATTATGATCAGCAGCAGCATTACCGCAATCCACAGCATGCCATGCCTCGTGGTCGGCATCATCATCAGCATCATCACCAGCATAACCAAGCTATCAAGCACAAGCAGCATACCAATATGATTTGACCATCATCACCACTTCAATCAATGTGATAGATGAGCTATTGGCATCGCACAAGACTCGCAACACACTAGCTTTGGATTTGAGTGTCACACAACGTTAAGCAACAATGCTAGTCAACAGTGCAGTCCAACAGTAGCCGCGCGGCTCCACTCTTTTCGTCTCCCGGGTCAGGTCCGAATAGGTGGCAAAACTTTTGCCCCGAGACCAGAAAAGGCAGGCAAAGCGGACGAACCAGGCCGAAGATAAGAAGGGAAAGCAGCCAACCAGAGGAATCGGGGGAATGGGAGCAGTGTTCGTGCTCCTCATGTTCCACGATGCTGGAAATTTTGATTAAGATTCAATTCCCGTGCGAATGCAACCTGCGCAGGTGTCCTGTGCAAAGAGTATACAAATGTTACGGAGGGCCAGCCCCTCAGTCATCCAAGCACCCTGTCGGCACCTGAGGCAACCGAAGATTTCAGCCGGGCCGCCAATCGCTGCAGGTGCCGAGCCGCAGGTCTTCGTTGAAGCCCGTGAAGTCGAAGTGAGTCAGCTGGTCAGCCCATGTGTTTGAGCATCGTTTGACATGGGGGGAGCATAACGAAGGAGCCCAAGGCATGCTCCTGTGCAGTGAGCTCCACCAACCGGGCTGAACACGGCCAACGCTTCGAAGATCTCTTGATTGCCACGAAAGCATTCCCCTCGTTGGCGATGCTGACGGGATGTTCATGTCCATGATGCTAACCGGCGAAAAGATGAAAAGGATCGATGCGCCAAGCATCTTTAAGGCTGCAAAGCGTCGCTGGGCCTTGGCGCGCTGAAGAATAGGATCCAGCCAGCAGTTGCACAGCATCGCACATGGTCCCGCATTCATAAGGCCCGTGACGAGCTTTGCCTGGAACCTAACCAGGGCTCCAGGTCGGCACTTCCTTTGGATCTTCTGCTCCCACGGGAGACGTGGGCAGATTTGCAGATTAGCTTTGGCCACCCATTGGAGTCTGCCAAGCAGGACTGTGATTTCCTTCCTGGTGTGGAGTTCCCCTTCAGCCAGCTTGTCGAGGGCCTGCAGGAGAACTGTGGTCTTGTCCTCCGGCAACCAGACCGTGAGCTTCGAGATGCCCACCATATAGCCTAGCCATCTGTTCTCTACGCCCAACAGAAGTCGTCCACGAAGACGAAGATCCAGAGAAGTGCCGGCGTGGGGTGGTAAGCAAGGCATGTCACAAGAGCTGCCATCCTTCCCCGGTAGAGCTGGACAGAGGCCACACCATAGGTGCCCACCATATTTACCCAGAACTTTGACGGCGGCGATCATGTAGCGCCAGCGTCTACGTGTCAAATTGATGCTGCGATGTGCCTTGCTGACTTCCGACTTGACCGGAGTGAAATGGGAACCTTCAAGGGAAGGCTCTGGCAACCAGGAGGTCAAACAAAATGGGGCCAATAGTTTTCTTGTCCATATTGGACCGGATGTTGTGATTGACACCAACGACGGCGGCGTCAACAATTGTTCTGACTTTATCAGCTTCTTGGATCTTTGCCATTGCCCCCACGCATAGTTCATCCAGTCTGCACTGGCAGGCTGTCGCTGCTTCTGCTCAGTGGTCGTTTGTGATGGTTCAAGCTCCAAGGGCAGCTACTGCTTCATAAGCCAGATCCCTGGATCGTCCAAGGTCGGGCCATCCTCGAGGAATCTGCCATCTGGGTCAGAGGTTGACCAATGCTGCCAGAAAGTCCAAGGCGAAGGGTTGCCCGGGTAGGCCTCAACACACAGCCTGTCATCACTTCCAGAACCACCCATTTCCACTGTGTAGAAAAGCTTCCAAGGGGGAGTTCTTAAGGGAGTCGCTACCTGTGCTGAAGAACCAGTGCTCGAGCCAGGCCAGTTCGCAAGCCCCGCGGCCCCTGTAGTTTGCATCTTCCCGGCAAGGTTTCCCCGAGCAGGGGCTGGCTGAAGAACCACCCTGGCGGCTGACACGTCGACAGCGCACGCCATCCCAATCCAGGTACAGATTGGTCGGGATTGACGCGTGTCCCAACATGCACTGATCAAGGCTGAAAACCCGCACCCGAGAGAGCCCCGCGAAGTCCCTGCACTGCTGAGTTGCCCACCTGAGGAGCAGTTCTGGCAGGAGTCCGAATCCCCGTAATCTGCAGGAATTGAGTTCCCGAGGCTAAGTGGTAGAGAAGCAGCATCTTCAACAAAAGGATGGAGTCATGGCCCGGCAGTCCTCAGCAGAACTGTCTTTTCCTGCCTTTGGCCACTCCTGGTCTGTACCTGAGGATAGACCAAGTGTAGCACTTGGGCCACACAGAATGGCAACCCAAGGATCCTGATAAAGCCGAGGCACAAACCTTCCTCAAAGGCCTTGTCATCCCGGATGTTGCGCAATTTGGCTTCTGCAAATGTCCATGTCCTGCGTGAAGCTCACGAGATGACGGCAGCGTTTCACAAAGGCCGCAGCAGCGCTGGCTTCATCATCTTTTCCCGCGTACAGGACCAGAATGATGGGCTCCAAACCGGTCACCAGCACTTTCCAGCTGTTCTTCGCTGGTAGAAGCCTGTCCAGGAGTCGCGGAGAAGTGATGTCCCGATAGCCTCCAAGACAGCGGCACCTGAGGCATCCGTCCCTGGCCACAGGCCCTTCTGATCCAACCTGTGGGCTGGGCCTGGCCCGTCAGCCGCGGTATGCCACGGCCGTCGCCTCAGCGGCTGGCGCAATAGATCAGGGCCAATCTAACGCAAACGGCGCAAAGGGATTATGGCCCATGCCATGCCCCTTCCACAAAGCATGTCTAAGTTCGCACTCCCCAGGCCTTCGACTAAGAGCTCTGCTTCGTCATGCTTCGTCAAAGGTTCGCGCGAAATTGCCCTCGTACCGTAGTTTGCTTCAATGGAAGGACTGTTGATGGCCTTGGTTCGCAAACACCTTGTGGCCCTTCGGTCGACTAAGTTCGTCAGAACCCCCCTGCCTTTGACTAACTTTGTCCCAGCTTGGTGGCTGTCCACTGACTTCGTCCAAGGGCCCTTGGCATATCATCACGGGCTATCCCTCTTGAATTTCCCTTGAGAGGACTGGCCAGGTTTCCCTGCACCGTGTGCCGCGCTGACCGCTGACATCCAGGCATCGGCCAGCGTCCAGCGCCTCCTGAAAGGTCTCGCAACCTCCTTCATCCGCTTTCCAACCCGCGCCGCTGCAACGCCTTCCGGGGTTGTAGCCATAGCCAGCTACTGCAACGAAGGGGGCAAACAACCCCAGAAAAAGCAGTCAGCTAGCCTCAGGCTCCTTGCAGCTGCCGCTGCACGCCATTTTGGCTTCAGCCAGAGACCAGCAGGGCACAACAACAATTACATGTTGCCAAGCCCACTGAACCTGGACAGGTATGCAAGAAGACTATACCCCTATCGCACGCACGCGCACTTCCAAGACCTTTCAACTCTGTGCTCAGGACACGCAGCATCGAAGCAATCTCGGGCCTGGACATCAATCAAGCGGCTAAGTCTCGTTGAGGGCTCTCTGCCAAGCTTTCGAACAATTGTACGCGCTAGCTGTCAAACCAGGCGCGGCTTTCAAAACTTGCGAAATGACTGCTCACGGGTTTTGCTAACCTTGCGGATGCTGCATTTTGACACAATGTTAACGCAAACGCGGAGCGGCGGTAAGAAACTCAACCTTTTTTCAATTGCATACATGAGACCAGCGTCTTTCAAGTTGAGTTTACGACAGGAATGTGTTGGACATGTGCGCGCGCGAGCCAGAAATCGCAGGAAACTGGATCCTCACCCGAGTTGCGATTCCAGTCACCGAAACTGCAACTGTTCGGGTGGCAGTCATCTTTGCTGGGTGACAGACGTGCAGGTGGCTCTGGGCCGGGATTGGCTCGGTGCACCACTAGCTTTTTGCTTCACAGCTTGTCTCGAGCTTTACGGTGTCGAATTCTGCAGGACATAGATGGGATGGGCAAGTCATGTGGCCAAGCATACGCAGAAGGTTTCCGTGGATGCCACCCGAGTGGACTTTGGTGGGACAACGACATCGAGCTCAGGATCTAAATGGGATCACTGTTGGCGCTCTTCATGCAAGATCTTGAGACCCTATTAACCATGCTTAGGCTTTACCAAGCCAACTCAAGGAAGGACGGGCGCTTCCTCCAAACCTAATCCCCCTGATGACTACAAAAGCAGAGCTTGATCTTCTGCTGGGCTTGTGGGGTGCTGTTCATCTTGTAGACATGATGGGTGCCTGAATCGGGTATTCGAAGGTGCCGTGTAGCTGATGTCTCTTTGGTGGGGTCGTAGAAAAGCTGCAGTCGGTGTAATTCTGCTTTGTCAGAGCCCTGTGCGAACCACTCTCTCCCCTACTCGACTTCCCGGAAAAGAGTGACACAACCTGAACCACAGTCCCTCACCGACTATTCAGTTCCGACTCTCCACAAGATTTGCTGAAGCTCATCACGTGCTGTCACGCACACTCTTATTCTTCTATGACAATGAGCTCTGTGCACTTCTGAAGGTGTGCGCGGCCCATGCCCCAAGCTCGCGCAAGTCCGCGTAGCATCCGTCACGCAGTCAGGGACGGGATACCGATGGAAGCGAAGCCAACAGTATTCAGTAGTACACGTGCCCATGACAAACATCCATCAACCACCAATTGGCTTCTCTACTGTCTTCGCGCCTACTCAACTTGCTAGGAGACTTCTTCTAGATGTCTCTCTTCGTATCAAAACTGGCTTCAGCTTACATCTCCAACATTCGACCCATCCTTTGTGGTATAAACACTCACCATGTATCCTCATTGCTAGATATTGCAAGTGCGAGCGGTCAGGATTGTCACTCTGGTTTCCTCTAGTGTTCGCATGTGTTCTTGGCTACCCCCAGCTGCCAAAGTACACTTATGACTAAATAAATGCTCAACAACTTCGGGGATCATTTCGGAGTAGCGTTTGGGCAATCGAGCCCCTTTCATGTACATCGTCTGTTCCCTTCATCTTTCCTTTAAAGCAACGCGCTTTGCTGTCGCTTGTCTGAGTTCAGAAATGCAGCGACAACAAAACGCAGGAAAAGGCAGAGCCCAAGCTGAAAAAAAATCGACAAAACCTTCCCCTCATTTCCCCTCCGCCAGCCCTGGCCCTGTGGGTTCCTCCTTGCGCGTGATTCAGAAAAGTCGCCGAGTTGCGCACGGTGCGGTCTTGGGGCCGCAGCAGGTTGGCCATCAGCATCTGCGAGCGCTAGGACCTCGTCTAGGTCTGGCCGGGCTCCGCACGTACGCGCCCTGACGCCCTCAATTGAACCCGTTCAGAGGACAGCTCAGCTGCCCAGCTCATCCACCCGAAAGAGTTACGCAGTAAAAAACTTGATCTTGTTTTCTCCCTGGGACAGAAATCTCCAGCCTTCTGATCCACGGGCACCACAACGGAGAGCATTCCAGCAAGCTTGTCCCATTTCGCATTTCCGGAATCCTTTCATCAAACCGTTTCCACATGAAAACTAAAGATCAAATGATACGAGCTCCTTTCTGACTCTGTGGGGCAATGCCAGGTTCAGCTGGTGCTTGGGAGCTTGCAGAAGTATTCGGTCCTGGCCAATCAGATCAGTTCTATGGTGAAAAGATGTGAAAAGCATCTCTCTGCACCAGCGCCTCAAGCACATCCAGCGAGATGTCCTGCCAGCAGGCATAACTTCACGAGTCAAACAGGGAATATGATGAGACGATCAAGATGGGTATGGTGCAGAGCAAGAAGCCTCCAAAAAATGCTCATTTAACGTCAGAACAGTAACACTATGACTTTGTTGTTGTTTTTCAAATCGCTTGACCCCTCTCCGAGCACCCTGAAACGGACAGCAAACCGTTCAACCGCTCGCAGCCCTCCAAACAAACATCTCCCCGGCTCTGCCTAAAATTGCAAAGTCTTCATAGCTCCGAAGGCAAGTCGTCTACACTGGCCTTCAGCTGTGTTCCTGGAAGCCAGATCTTGATGAGAAGCTCTTGACACCTGCTCAACCCCCGCAGCAATACCGTATCAAGGTACACACTGCAGTGCAGATAAGAAAGCCGCCTTTCTAGTTGCTGGTGCTTAGGTTTGTCATGTGCAACAGACGTATTGCCCTGCCACTCCTTGACGTATAAACCTGGACGACGCTACTTCTTTCTAGTCGGGTTATCGAGCATTTGCTACACAGGTTCGCGATGTTTTGTTTACAGGAGCTTGCATCTTGATTGCTTTGTTTGTACTGCGTACTGATCCGCGAGCCATTCTCGTGATTTTGGAACAAGTTTAGTCTTGGAATGGATGCTTCTGCGAGGGCCACATTGTCACCCCCTTGTAGACCTGGCTTAATACTTCAATCGATGTGCCCGCGAATCGATGAAACAGGTGTCACTGCAAGGAAATGCTAGGCTGAGGCTTTTTAGCAAAGTTCTGCGACCTCTTCGATGACCGAACGCTTGTTTTTCCTGCGCTAGATGTTGTGGCATTGGCTGGCCTGTGGTAGTTTCTGCCTGAAAAATCTTAAACTAGCAAAGCAAGTCCACCACCAGACTGAAGGAATAGGGAAGCAGCTTCTGTGTTACCATCCATTTATATCCTGTCCAAGCTTTCTTGGTGATCCATCTATAACATATGTCAATCTGTGCTGCACAGCGTACAGTTGATGGACGTGTCAGGGACGGGGGGCTGGTCTGACAAATGCTCGATCATGGCCGACTACAAATTGGATACTCTACCCACAAGGCATGTTGTTTACAGCCTTCGGTCATCTTGGAACATCCCTTCTTCTTACAGGACTTGCCTACCAACAGCCTCAACAATGCAATAGCTGACGAGCCTGTCGCTGGAAGGGTCCATGTCCTCTGAGTGGCAACTTGCGAATGAGAAAGAAAACATACAATCTTTCTTGACAGCCGGCTTCTCTTGCACACGCACATCCTGCAGGTTCAGGTAGGCATCAGAAGCCTGGAGTCTCTGTCGCGGAAGAACCTCGTCACACCGAACTCCAGCTGAAAAATCTCATAGATCGGATTTATGACAAACGGGCCGCCTCATCTTGCTAGATCTGACGGTCCAAGTTCACAGTTGCAGGCATATGCTCTGCAAATGAACTGAGTGTATGCTGCACTTCCAACCACACACAAAATTGGATTCCTTTTCAGGCAGTCCTTCCTTTTGAGGTCTCAGGAGTGGCTTCAGACGAAGCAAAAGGCTAGCCTGCAAAGATTGCATTGCACTCCTCAAGAATGCTGCGCGAGCCTAGAACCGCTTGCTCAAAAAAACTCTATCCCCATTTTCCTGATAGAGCCAGGCAATTTGGAAGCTTACAAGAGAAATCTCTGGGCAGGTTCCCCATCTAAATTCCTAAAGAAAGGCTATCCAGCATGGCTTGACGCCCAAATCTACATCTCTGAAGATCCGCCTGCCAGCAGCTGGTGTTCGCCCAGTGCTCATTCATTACACTCCGAGTCTCTCAGGTTCATGCCCAGACACCTCGTATCTCGGAATGGCACGATCGTCACCCTCGCTTTTTACGACAACGCCAGATGCCGCCTGACATGATTTGTCAAGCCAGATTCAGATGTTGACAGAAGTTGCAAGGTGTTTGCGGACAGCTGCTGCAGTGCTAGGCGTACAGGGAATTCCTCCTCCCTCTAGTCCAGCTCTTAGACGAAACAGGTTGTGCAGATCCAAGGGCCAGGAGACCTGAGATCTTTCCTCACCAGTGACGTTGGAAAGGTGTACTCCACAGCAAGCTTGCAAAGTAACATTCCGTTTAGCGCAGGGGAGATCAACGAAACTTCAACAAAGCAAACTTCGCCAAACCTCCACTTTGCACCATGGACTGGTCGTGGGTCTCAATTTTGAAGCTATGTCTCCGAAACATTTGTTTTTCTCGGAAAGCACGTCGTTTCAAACCAAAACTTTGCAGAAGGGCAGATCTCTTAAACCCCCAGCCAACAGCCCCACTCGTACAGAAAAATAATTGAGGAATCTACAGCATTGACAGTTTTCTGCTGGTCGGAGGAAGGCTGGTGCCCGGCGTTGGCCACCAGCAACGTGTTTTGTTTGCAAAGTCCACGTCAGGCCTACACTGCAGGCGCAGGATGATTGAACCTGCAGCTACCTGTAGGAAATCTTCGGAGCTTTTCCACCACCCTTGTAGAATGCGCTGCATCTGCAGGAGAAAAAATTCTGCTTGGAGGGACTGGAAAAAATCATTGTGGGCATAGCACCTCAAACACGCCTGACGCCGAAGATCTGCTGAGCAATTCACAAAACTGACACGTTTTATGCTTGGCTGCCAGGGTCACAGTAGATGAAAAGATTTGGAAGCAATGAACATGGGTGAGTGATGCATTTGCCTTGAACTCTTCGGGCTGCCAAATTGCGTGCTTGTCCTGACAGATGCTCACCGAACTTGCACTGTCACTGCATGAAACCATCGGCATCCAGTGTGGTCCTTTTTCTTTGGTTCCCTCACTGCGACCTTCATGTTGGGAGGAGCCTGCAGGACTCAGGGCAACAAGACTGGGAAAGCGCGGCTTTGCATTGCACTTGCATATACTTGCATGCTCTACACCTATAACTTACGGTTCCGTGTCTCATCTAATCTCACAGCTGCTGGCACGCAGAGCGGAGCAGTTTTGTTGCTGGCAGGATGCCTGGCTGGGCTTCCCTCCTGTTCGTGCAGCGGGATTTACGGAGGGCGGCTTGCCTCAGCAAATCTTTCATACGCCGGCACAAGCCGCAATTTCAGGGTGCTTCTGGCACATCAAACAACTTCAACAGGACCTGAGCGGTTCAGCTTTCATCAAACATGATGACGCAACTCCAGAGGGAGCTGTTTAGCTCTATTTCAACAAACGTACCAGTAGTAAGCAACATAAGCACGAATTCGTACCAGTAGCAAGCAACATAAGCACCAATTTCAGGCATTGCGAGCAGGTTCAGGCGAGCACTGTTCTCATCTTGCTCTTCCTGAACACCGGGAGAAAAGCACAAACATCGCTGCTTCATGCTGCTTGCCTCCTTCGCAACTCCCAGAAGATCCATCAAGCTGTGCATCTGCTGGGCTGTCACGCCTCACATATGGAGTGCCACGCAGGAGCAGTTGGATGAATTTTGGCAACCGAATCCTCTCGATACTAAAGTTACTAAAGTGGACCACCTGTAGATCATTGCAAACAGCAAAAGTTTCCAAACATCTGGAAGCCAGTCGCAGCAGAAAACTGAAAAGTTGCTTGAAACTAAAGAATCAAAACATGTCTCATTGTCAAATGGCTTTTGTAAACTGATGAATTGCTTGCCCGCTGCTCGGGGCGGCCGTGTCGTTTGCATTCTGGGCTTCTTTCCGCACTCATCCTAGGAATGATGTTGGCTAACCAGACCACTACTGTCATCATCATTCATCATCGTTGAATAATCATCATCATCATCATCGCAACACAAGGATCCCTTTGCGGCGAAGCAAGAAGATCATCATCATCATCATCATCATCATGTTACTGTTTTACTCTGCATGGTCAAGCATTCTTAACATAGCATGGAACAACCTCATAGCCTTTCCAACGGCAAATCAGCAATCTAAGCAAAAACTCACTACTTGCAGAATCCTGCTTTGGGCATCCGTAGTGAAGGCTGGAAAGTTGCATCCAGGAACCTGCTTTGCTGCGACGGCTGCATCTGAGGCCTCCCTTAAAGAGATGAGTTCGATGAACTTCTAGGTCAACCACTTGTTCAGGCTAAGCCCGTCCCCCGGGCAAGGACAGGACATACGAAGCTTTGTGAACAGAATGACTGCGGGATCACCTGAGCTCAAACCAAACCAGCAGCACCTGTTTCAGGAGCCCCTTCAGGGAGTTCTCTCCTGATGGCCGGTTTTGGCCCACGAAGCGTAAAAACTTGACAGCTTCTTGGCATTTGATAACATGCAGGGTGCGGGTCTCACTCCACTTAAGAATATCTAGCTTGCCGAGCCAGAGCTAAATGCTCCACCTACTGATTTCCAAACCATGTTAGGCGATCAGGACCTACCGACTACTCTGCTATTCCATGCAAGAATGTCACGGCCCCTCATCGTAGCCAACATCCATTGCCTGGATCCAAGGATCGATCAGTCTCTAGCCTTGGATGCAACTTTGTCATACTCTGTCGGATGATGTGGTGCAAGATGGTGCAAGCTTGAGTGCTTTCAACATTACTCATGGCTTGCTGCTGCAACTTGCTGCTGCGCAGCCCAAGGAACGCCATGTTGCTGAAGCCCGTCACCTTACCGCAACAAGCCGGCAGCATGGCTCTATATCGTTACATTCTGCCAGGCTCTGAGCGTGAGTCTGTCCAGTTTCCAGGTCTGTGCAGTAGCTGAAATTTTGAGCCAACCACGGCAATTGAAGTGTGAATCTCCCTAAATCAGACTCAAAGACATGACTCAGACCCGTCTTACAAAGCACTACTCACATCCCATACTTCATGCCGCTGCATGCCACAGGAATCGGGCGTTGTCCTGGCTGCATGGCTGGAGTCTCTGGGCATTAGGGAATTATGTAACTGTCAGAACTGATTGGGGTGATTCGCGTTCACATTGTGTTGGTGCTGCAGTCCAGCTACTTTGTTTGTAGGTGGAGCTGTGGTCTCAAAACTCAAACCTGACAGTGCCGCGTACAGGGAGAGATGCCTGCCGAGTTGAAACACAACTGCAAGGCAGCTTCTTGTTGTAGAAATGCAGAGTCCGAGCTAAGAGCCTCGCCTGGACAAGGTGTTGGGAAACCCTGTGCGATAGCCAACTGTTGGAAAGACTCTCACTTAGACGTTAAGTCAAAAAGGAAGTGCGAAGCCCATGCTGATCACATCAGTTGTAGGTTACTTGCACAGCACTCACTTTTAGAGGGCTCGGATTAGTTTGGGCATCGTGCAGTTGCTGGGATCTAGCTAGCTGGAGAGCACGCCCTCCGTGTCCGTAGCCTGGCTCCATCTACATGTGCTTCAAACGCTGCAATTGCAGCATGATTGCTAGGAAGGACTTACCCAAACACCAGGTCATGATTGTGTGATGCAGAATACATGCCCGTGGAGGTTCCAGACGCGGCGTCACCAATTCGGAAGTCCGCAGCCATAATCACTGCAAAATCTCAAGTTTCTTCCTCGGGCAACGAAAGGACACGGGAAAAGTGGCTGTCTGCTTTTCGCGACATGTCCGGTGCCCGTCTCATGCAATTTCTTGGAAAGACTTCTTGACTTCGTCAAGGACCTGCCATTCCTACTTCCTGTACACTCTGCTACAAAGACGCTGCAACCGTGAGACCAGAATGAAGTGGAGGACTATGATCACATCATGCTCAACGCCGCCTTGCCTGCATTCCTTGCTGCATGAGCTTCACAGATGTGGTGGCATTGCAAGCAGTGATGAAATGCAAAAACTGCGAGCTGCAAGCCCAATCAGAAGCTGGGAAGCTTACGCAATTTCTTCCTTCCGATCGCGCAGGCAAGACATGTGCCCAACAGCACTGACAGTCAACACATGGCTCGCGCCTGCTTGGCCACAATGAGCGGGAGGAGCTGGACCTTTTGCACTCTCCAGCCGGCACTGCCAACTGGACCGACTAGACAGGGTGGGTGTATTTCTGCCTTCTTCAAGCCTTCATGCTCCAAGCCGAGACTTTCGGCAACTTCCTGTTCATTTGAATTTCGACCATTTTACATGGAGAAGCCAGGGTCTGGGAGTGTGCGCAGAAACGAGCTGCGTCCTTTAGCTCCTTGATGTTCATCTTGTTAATGTCCTGATGTTTTGAAGCATGTCACAAGGCAGCACATGACAGCACAAGCCACTGACATGGTGCCTTTGCTAGCTTCTGGCCAGAATCTGCTTCCTTCGAGACAGGCAGCAACTGCCAACTGCCTCCCTCCAGTGCTATGGGAGGTGTGACTCTGAGGCCACGGCTTCTGCTGCCTGATCCTGTCCCTCAGCTTCCTCCTGCTTCGGCGTTGTTCGAGGCGCCAGTGCCGATGGCCTTCAAGCAAATCACGCCCCAAAAAGTCATCCAACAACTTCCAACATCTTCCAACTCACTGAGTCTGGTACAGCTTCGCCGGTAATTTCAAATCGGCCTGCCATACGAGCTGCAGGGACTGTAACTGCTGCCAAGAAGAGGGCTTATGTGCTGGTCCCTCTCAGCAGTCCATCCCAGCTAAAGCTGGCGTCGCACGCTCCATGCACTATCATGCATTCAGGTGACTGCGCCTCCTTGGCGCCAGTGCCTTCAGATTTGCCTGGCGATGCCAGAAACCGTGTTTCAATGGCCGTGTTGACTGCTGGGACTGCTAGGATTCAAGCTGGGTTTGGAGGCGGAAGCAGCAGAAGCCTGTCGCAGTGGCAACCACGTTTCATGATAACAAATGTGCCAGTATGTGCCCACAATCGACAGATCTCGGCAGACCTGCTGAAAGGTAGATCAACGCCAACAGAGTCCAGAGTGTGCATGCCACGTCCTCTGTGTTTTTGAATATACTGCAAGTCCGAAGAACACACACAGAGTTCCCATTCAGGAGCATGCGGAAGAAAAGACCCTGAAACAAGTCAGATAAGTCAGCAATCAGACCCTCTGCCAGGCCTTGATCGAAGCTGCGATGCGGTCTTCCCTGGTCTGCTGGGGTACCTGCACCTCCAAGTCCATACATACTTCCCTGAAAGAGGTGTCCTCCATCAAACCGTGCCTCCAAGCTAGACCAGCTTTCCTGAAACTCCTGCAAGACCTAGGCATTTCGAGACTGGCTAGCGGCTAGCCGGCTGGCCGGCCTTTAACGCCTTAGCCCTGGACACCCGGTAGCTCTTGTATTTCCTTGACCGTCTCTGCCGCCTCGTCCACCCACAGAAGGACGCAGTTGCCCAGTAGCACGGATGGTAAGGATGCGACGACATCTTCCCATTGCTGAGCTCGCATAGCCTGTACAGGTACATTCATTGACAGGTCTAGTAAAGCGCGGCAAGGATCAACTCCCGCAGGTGCCTACTGAAGCAGAGGCAGCACTGGTGCCCGCATTTACAGTCACGACAATTGTGGGTCACGGCTCCAGCCGCTGAAGCATGTCCACAACCATCAGCAAATATGAGCGGCGGCAGAAAGAACAACAGCCAACATTCAGGAATGGAAAGGAAAATAGCAGCACCAGCAGCAGTGGTACAGTAGCGACAGCAGCGGTGGCAAAATCAGCATGGTGGCGGCAAAGCGGCAGCACTGTCGGCAGTGGCAGCAGCAAGAGCAGCCACTTTCTCAAAAAAACTTGCCAAGGCCTGCTTGCGTTGCTCCAGATCCTCTTTGTGCGTGCGGCCACTGAATAGAGGAGGAATGCAGCAGAAGGATTGTCTTGAAGTTGTCCTTCTTTCTGGTGATGACCCATGTTGCTGGAATGCGCGGGAAGCTTTCCTGAGATTGCGTGTGGCATGGCACGGCATGTCCCAACAACAACCCTTAGCAGCAAAAGGTGAGCTGATGGCTGTCGCACGAGACCTCACTGGCGCCGCTGGCATCGAGCACGTCACTGTTGAAACACGTCAGACATGACATGTAGTAGGGCCAGCGCTGCGAGCTTGACTTTACACCTAAGCTTCTTTTGACCACATCACTGGATTTCACTACATTTCACTACGTTTTACTAGGCTGCTCCGGGAGCTGAGAAGCAGGCTTCTGCTGCTGGAGGCGCGGCTGAACTTTGCCAAGTCTGCTTGCCGCGCAGCTTCTGCACAAGTTGTGACGGCCACACAATACTTCATAGCTCACTGAATTTGTGATGTCCTCAACACTTGCATTGTTGCTGGTCCATGAATCTAATTTGCATGGCATGCGTAAAATTTGTTTAAGGTTTACCTGCCTTCTTCTTGCTGAGCAATGTCTTCCAGCGTGGGAGGTGGGATCTCCTTGCACAAGTCCAGTGAGAAAGAGAGAAGCTGCGGGCATTTCGATCGGCAGATAGTGATAGACAAGCCCACCTCCAAGCTTTCTGTGGTCGAGCGGACCTGCAGTCAAGGCTAATCAGACTTCTGCGTGCTGTTCTTTCAATGCTGTGGCTCTGCCCCGCTCCTCATGCGCAAGCATGCCTACATTTCCGCTACAGTCTTTTTGAGACGCCTTGACACCCCCTTTGGAATCGTGCGCATTCGCGCGCGCTTCTACATATTCCAAACGTGCCCTCCGCCACCCGACACTCAGAAGTGTTGATAGGGTGTGGCAGGACCCACTAACCACTCCCGTCTGGTGGGTTCTAGTCTAGTTCAGGGAAGGCCGCCCAGCAAGGCCAGATTCCGGAGGTTTCCCAGGATAGACCAGCGAAGCTGGGCTTCGAGCAATGCTTGAAGGGACTTTCGTAGTTGAGGAAGAAGCAATCGAGTGAAAAAGCCGGAAATCAACCAGAAAACTGATAGCCATGCACCCACACACAACAGTCACGCATCACATAACCTGATTGCAGAAGATACGCACAAAGATCCCTGTGACTGTCGGCGCTTTGTACACGAACCAAGAATAGCGGGTCCATCTACAGTCCAAAAACGACAACGCTTACAGGATTGCCACCTGCGCCCAACCCCTGCACGCGACAGAGATGTGGGATTCCATCTGCAGCCCAAAGACGACAACGTTGACAAAGCTTATGCGGATCGCTGCCGTGACCCTCCCGGTCCCTGTGACTGTCGGCACTGGGTTTGCCAGGCTCAGCTTGACAGGCACGGCACAGATTTAGCAGATTCAAAAGCATTTCGCTGAGGTGCCCACTGCTCGGTGGAGGCCAGCCTGGGCACGGTACCAGCAAACAGCGAGGCCAAAGCAGAAGGTATCGTGATGTATCGTGCATCTTGGCCTCTTCGAGCTTCTTTAGGACCTCTGCGGTCATCTGCTGCAACTCTACCTCAAGACATGGCTGGTCACAAAACTCACAAAACAAAATCATGGTGTTACGCATGCAGCATCATCTGCTCCAAGGTGCCAAATTCTCATGTGTTGCCTCCATGCTCATCTCGATCATGCCCAATGTTTTGTCAACCTGCCAATCGAAGACATTCGTCTAGCAACGTTGGATAGGCACCGACCGCCTTGACACCCATGCATTCGGAAACTTGACCAAAGAGGTCGTTTAGCTGCATGTTGCGCGATGTGCACCTCAACATGTCACGACCTCGGCCATCTTGCAGGTTAAGATTATTGAGAAGAGGGCTCAGTAAGGCAAGAGCTCATCGCCACCCCTTGCAGTCGAGTCAAACCCATGCAGAACCTTGCACTGAAAAACTGCCAAGCAGCAACAGCACATGCAGACAACGCAGAGAGGCACCGCTGGGGCCAAAGCTCTTCTGTGGTGATGCTCCCATCCCCATCATCCTGGGCAGGGTTGTGCAACATGTGCAACTGCCAGCCTCGTAAACCCAAGCTGCTCTTAGCTGCTAGCCAGAATATCGAAAATGTCAGGAAGCTCTTCCAAGTCGATATCTAACCTCAATCCACACCGCTTGCAGAGTCTGGGGTACGTGTCGGGCAGCTGAAGGACTTGGCTTCTTCATGTGTCGGATGAACATGACGTCATCCAGCACCTCTCATGTTTCAGGGCAGGGATTAGCGGGCGAGCTTGAAGTTGGACTGGGGAAAGCGTGGGCGTGCGGCAGAAGGGGAGATGCAAGTGGGGCCAAGAATTCAGTAGGTAGGTTCGCGTTATTGGTGAGCAAGAGCGAAGCTGAAAGGTTCAGTGGGGGATCGCGAAAAACACAAAAACTACACGACTGCACTTCGGGAGATGTTGTCAACTGCCTTGTTTTATTGACCCTGTCGGCATCCTCACGTCCGGTGTGGGGCACATGCGGTGACGGGAGCGAGAGCCCTCTCCACCTACAAGCTGGTCAGGAGCACAGGACGCATAGTCGCTACTACTAGCTACTTACTTACTTACTTACTTGCTTGCTTGCTTGCTTGCTTGCTCACTCACTTAATCACTTGCTTACTCGTTGACTTACTTCCTTACTTACGTACGTACTTACGTGCGTATGTGCTTGTTTGCTTTCTTGCCGACTTGCTTGCTTGCTTAGCCGCTTCCGAACAACGACAACGGCGACGACCACGACGACCACGAGGACCACGAGAACCACGACGACGATGCCACCGACGACGACGACCACCACGACCACGAGAACCACACGACTACCAGGACCACGAGGACGACAAAGACCACGAGGACCACGACAGCCATGACGATGGCGACGACGACCGCGATAATGTGACTGAGAATACTGACATTAATAGCAACTACAAGATTTAGTGGACTGGAAGTTATACCCTATGACACATATAACACCAACACTGGTGCTAAAACTAAAAGGAAGTAAGTCTTCGTGCTAGTATTGCTGAATGGACAGCTGCCCGCTTGTGAAACTCACCTTCCATGTATTGGGTGATAGCAGGACCTCCTACTTAATTAGGATCCTTTCGATGCGTGTTTTAGAAGACACTGCGACGGCTGCCAACCCGCTTGCTAGTAGCTTTCTGTAACAGCAACACTAGTGCCAATATTGGCAACAATCTAGAGGTATATATATATATACACACTGTACTTACATATATATTCAGATGTAACACAAATTTCCGTATGCCGGCATTTGAATTTTGAGTGTGCAACTCGTGGGAGGCCTGGGAAATGTGTCGTGAGCGGTCTTTGGACTGTATGGGTTTGCTGGCACTTTGTGAGTGATTCACCCCCTCTCCCGAACGGCCCCCTTACTCTGACGAAATGAGCCAGAACGAATCAACAGGTATGGCAGAGACCTGGCAGAGCATGACTCCCGCGCCCACCCGGGTCTATGGAGTCAGAAAGTTTTGCAGTAAAATTAGATGGATTTGAATTCCAAGCGCTTGACGCACTCCGCGCTCATGGGATTTATCTTTCATTCGAGGTCAGAGGTGCACAGATGTGTTTAAGAAAGACTATCGAGAGCGAAGCAAGCACGGTGCTATGTGAACCGCTTGTTAAGGAAACAGACTAGCGCTCAGTCTGGACGAAAGCGTCTTCGATCACGTCATTGGTCATGAGGCACGAGCTTGTTGAAATGGGTTGGCATGCTGCACCGCCTACCTACTCCAACAGGTTTGACAGCGCTCTGTTCGCGCGTGGCTCCAGTCCATGCTGCCCCTGCTCACTGTTTGCCAGTCCACATAGAGCTACGGAATTCCATGCGTGTTGCTCGCTTCGCTGTGAAAGGTCCATCCATTACGCTTCTGGGGCCCAGCTGCTGGCCTCGTTTGCCGCTGATGTCCACACGAGCGTATCGCCATCGCTGCTGCCTCTCCGCCTTCAGCGCCGTCTGGTTCAGGAACGGTCGTCCCATTTTTTGCGACTGCCTTCAAACAAGCTGATGTTTGCACCTGGGCTTCGGCCATTGCGCTTGCCCTGTGGAGCTGCAAGCCACCTTCTGCTCGGTCTCGCCTACTTCTGATATCAAAAGCGGGGGGGGGAAGTGGAGAATAGAGAGTGAAGTGAGGAGAGTGGAGATTGTAGTCTTGAGAGTGCAGCATGGCGAACGGATTTCAGATTGGACCGGGGTTTGGAGAACGAAGATTGGAGTGTGGAGAGTGGCGGGGCCAATGGAGTGGAGAGTGGGAATTGAGAGTGGAGTGTCTTCGGCGCGTGTTCTGCGTATTGTGTCGTGTTCGTGACGCGTTTAATCCACGCAAATCAAGTGTTTTGTGTCTGCATTCGGGCTCATGGACTCCTATCAGGTCTTGAACTATCTGTGTGGAAACGATAGCAACAAACAATAATTGCTTGCACGGGCAATTACATTCGCAGGCACACGGCCACAAAATGCAATTAGCGGGCAGAACATCCACGCAACCCCTAATGCTCTTTCCCGTTCGTTTGCCTTATTGTTGTTCTATCAGTTCAACTATGCAATAAAGCAAAATGCAACCCGTGCGGTTTATTGGACATCTAAGCAACCGCAAATGAAGGAATTCGCACCTACATTTTCTTTGCCCGTGGCAAGCATATGTCTGTAGCAGGACAGTGCAAATCTGGGAGCGTTTGCAAACAAAACTTCCGTGGACGCTCCAAACATGTCACACTCACTTCAGGATTATTTTTTCACAGCTCCGGCTCGCCGTGTGATGGAACACTGATTTCGCAGGGCCTCTCAGCTAGCGCTCACTAGACATGTGATTTCACAAGTAATCTCAGCGTTCACATCCGCCTACCCGATCACTCCCAGAATTTCATCCAAGTCGCGGGGGCTGGCCTAAAGGGGGGGATTTGGTGTCCTGAGGCCAGAAGCATTTAGGTGGAGGGGGGCCCCGCGTGAGCCTCTAAATCTCCGACACATTATCAGACCATGTGGACCCAAAGTCGTGCATGGTCCAGGAGACATCAGGAGACATCAGGAGACTATGTTGGTAAAGCAGAAATCTCGGAGGCTTCCTCAGTCAGAAAAATCTGCAGATGTTGAATGTGCTGTGTATGTCCGCATGGCCTCACGACAGGTCTTGAAAGTTGTCAGCTGCTACAAAAATAAGAAGCATAGCCTTCCTTCCAGAGAGTACAAGCAGTGTTGAACCGAAATCAAGACCAAGAGACCAAGAATCTAGCACTTGCCTGCCCGTGGTAGGCCGGTTGCCTTCAACCCTGAGGGAAACATCGAAAGTTTGGTTCCAACAGCTTGCGATCCATGAAGCTGCAGTGTAGGCGGCAAACTAACCGCAAGTGGGTGCTTGAGCGATGGAGCGCTAGCTCTACACACGAGCCATTGGCCCACAGCTACCGTGTCGCATGCATGAGAAGTGGCTGGAGCTGCAATGCCGCCCGACGCGCTTGTACAAGAGCCCTCCATTGAGCGGAGGGCTCTTCAACCGGAGATGGTCCATTGATTGCTGGCTCAATGATTCGGTCCGTGACCCTACATCAACTCACCAGCAAGTGTGCCTGACAAGAAATTGCAACAGAAAAAGCTGATTCGATTCCAACACCTTCTCACGCCCAACCGGTCGGAACGGCACAGGTAACATCTTTTAGCTTTGCCACATCAGATGGAACATCACAAAACGTACCGAATTGGCATGGCACATCGGTGAATTCTTCTCGAGTGAGCGTTCCGCTTCCATCTTCATCGAGGGCCTGCTTCCGGATCAGAGAACTACATTGTAGCTACATGCCCGCATGAACTGCGCAGTCTAATTGCGATAGCCTGAAACATCTCTCGAAGGTCGGCTGCCATGGTGGCTTGGTTCTGAACCTGACGCGTTGGGCGTTGGATGGCGATGGGAGCGCTACCAAGCCTTGGTTTGCAAGACTGGAGCACCTGCTGTTGGGCTTTCGCTTCTTCGTCAGCCTCTGCCGCATCAAACGCATTCTTGACCACCTCAAGTCAAGACTTATTTGATTCTTCATCCTATGCCTATCATCTCTTCTGGCTGTACCAAAGGGCTGCTGACGCTGCTCTGCATGTCTTGACACGCATACAGCGGTATCTACATCTAGATTCCCATTGCCGGCAACCAAGGCCATGGCAATGGCCGTCATCAAGTTGAACAGAACAATACCGGCAACACCAAGGAAGAAAAGAATCAGGCCGGCCTGCAGGGCAGTCAATCCGCTTCTGGTTGCCTCTCCTCCGGATCACTCGGCGCCGCGCTGCTTCCGGCATTTTTGCTATGATCTTCCTGCAACATGGCTGCAAACAAGCAGAATCTCAAAACAACAGCAGAAAGCAGAACGCATTCAGGAGGCACTGCCTCGAAGGATCTGCCCAACTGTCGAATGTCATGAATTGGAACCTCGAGAGATGATAATGGATACTGTGCGCGCGTCATTTTATGGGGAATGTCCGATTGTTGAGAGCGTGCTTCGCCCATGAGGCCCAGGCAAGCTGAACATGGAATATGCCAATGAAGGGAAACTGCCATTGTCTTGCCATGTCGTGCAGGTACACACCATGGAATCAGCCGTTTATACTTCCGGGATCAAGCCACTGCACAACAAACTTGCAGGGATCACAACTTTTCCACGGTCTCGTCACCCCTGAATACATCAGCTTTCGTGATGATCTCCATGACCGCTACAGCGAACCTTGGGAGGGCGGAAAGGACACCCCGTAAGTGTGGGCTCATGACAGAACTCCAAATGTGACACACACAGCGTGTAAACTAACTGCCTCGCAACGATGCTTCATCTCAAACAGCAACTGCCAAATAGGAAACAGGCATAAAGTGGACAATCGCGATGATCACCATCGACCAGAACAAAAGCCTGTCAATGTATCTCATATGCGTGTACATGCACCACATACATGCAGAAAGCACCCTCCTACGAAGCAAAATGAGCCAAGCACATGGTACAGTTCAGCACGCCGCTGACCAGCATCCACAGTTCGTGGAACCTCCAGTGCCAGCTTTCGCATGCAAATAACAACTGCGCCTTCTGGACTTTGAGCCGCACATCGGTTTTGTTCTCACAGCGCGTGCCAGGCGACCGAGACGCAGCACCTTGTGACTTTGAAGATGACAACACCCGTGCCGGTTGCAGTCTGATGAGCTCATCGCTCGAAGCGCAGCTAAACGCCGCAAAGGATCAAACTCCACCTGCGATCTGCATGCAGATCTCAGAGAGCCATCAGCTTGGTGACGGGCTGAGAGCCGAGCACCAAGTGGCTCCAGAATGAAAACTACAAGGACGCCAGTAATCCAAACAACAAACGTGTCGAACATGTTCCTTGGCTTAACGCAGGATCTGCGGGCTTCGCGTGGCTTGTCAAATTGTTAAGCAAGAAGAACCCCGAATCCTGCACCCAAATGTACGAGTCCAAACTCAGTTCATGGCAAGATATCTCAAGCAACAAGCCAACCTGATTGTTTTTGCATCCAGGCAACATGGGCTCAAAAATGAAAACCTTGGCGCTAACCCAGACGATGAGTGCACTGTTGCCGAATCCTCACTAAGACGCCAGTGTAAGTTTCCAGGCCCAAGTTGATGCACGTAGCCGCAGAAAGTACCTCACTTCAGGAGACGGAAATAGTTCTCCTAGACAACCAGGAATCAGCCATCCGCAGGTCACTCCATGACAAAAATGACCACGAAGAATACTTCCGCTATGGTGATGAATGATGCCCTGCATGTACTTGGACAAACGCAAGTGAAGAATTGCCAGGAAAGGTAGCGCATGCCAACGGCCCTCTTCCAGAGGTGTGCTCATGGCAGCCGCACGGTAACATCGCTGCTTTACAAAGGTTCCCTAACCTCCCGGCGTGCTTCCAGGACCTAGGCCCTCCGGACTGGCAAGCTAGCTCTGCAACAAGATGCAAAACGCAAAACCTTTTAAGATTGAAGAGCTGCCATGCAGTTGTTCCTTGGATCTTGACCTGGCCTTTCTTCACCTGGCTTGTACATGGCATCCATGCCCGAGATGATTCCATTGAAGACGATCAAGACCTGAGCTGACCAACGCTGTCATCTAAAATCAGGATCTGCTTCGTGTATGACAGTCCCTCTCTGAGCGTGGAACACCTATCGCTGCTTCAAACCTCAACGATTCAACCTGCCAGAAAGGTGGATGTCATCTACCAAGTATGGCATCCCTCGAGCAACAACTTCATTGGCAAGGTCTCCAAACATGCTGGATCGACAAACTTCTTCAAAGAGGGATGAGGAGGATGGTCTTGCGCAGCTATCTTCTTCACAGCGATTTGCATCTGAGAAAATGCATCAAGGTGCTAACAGGCACAAACACTCTGTGCTGTTGAAGCGACCGCTGACATTGAGCATGTGGCACGGAGCCACAATATACCTGTTCTGCTCTGCATTTTGAGCCTCGGTGGACGGGATGACATGCTACAAGATCTGCATGCTACATGCTTGGCATCCTGAGAGTCATGGTTGCTGTCTCAGCTCGCCCAAGCATTGTGGAACAGCACACGACATCAGGCTCTGTTTTTACCACCTGACAAGTACAACTGTGGTCCCAACGAGCAGGAATATTCGCTTGGGTCTTCCGGAATGCCTGCAGCAGCTTCCGTTCTTGGAATCCTGATGTGTTTCTGTGCCCAGGCCTACAGCTTCCCTGGCACGTGCCAGCACGTTCTCGCCTTGGGCCACCAATAATGCAAACAAACGTAAAGTCATGACTTCGCACACCTTAGATCGCATGTTCATCTTAAATCATTTTGGCGCCTGAGCGTTCTACAAGCATGCACATCCACCTGGACAGTTGTTTCTGCCCGTTGATTTAGCGGCCGAAACTGCTGTGTGTATCCGCTTGTACTGTATGCGTCCATCGAGGACTTCTAAGGAAGCTACGATGTTGTGTAATTTGCGGGAGCACTTACAGCCGAAGCAAGAGGCAAACTAAAACGAGTGCACCCAACAATGGCCAATCGACCATCATCTTAAGAATGCATTAAGAATTAAGAAGACTAGCTTGCGAAAATTTATGGGCTTTGGATTTCCGGGGCACAATCATGCCAGGAAACATGGCGATCTATTAGCACAGCAATGGATAGTGGTAGTGGTAGCACCACCCGCCACCGATGACGATGTTGGTGGTATTGGTACTGTGGTGGTGGTTGTGGTAGTGGCAATAGCAATACTAGTAGTAGTACTAGTAGCACTAAGCACCACAGCTCGAATGAGTCCACAAAGGGCTCTTGTAGCACTAGAAGTCCTACGAAAATAAAGCTTAGCTTGAGTGCACGTACAGGTTTTTTGCTGCGACGCCTGCACCAAATCCTCTGGAGCTCAGACATTAATTCGTCCATGAAAATGAGTCTGTTATACATTATATACATTGCAAACTGCCCTGCAAGTGATGAGCAACGGGGGCCTCCGCTGTTCCTTGAAAACGGGGTCGTGCCAACGGAGCTCAGGTGCCATGACGTTATGGCGGTCACAGATTGATGCGCATTGTGTATGCAAACAAGGGCCACAAATGACGAGCCGCCCCGGTCCCAAGTCCGGGACGAAGACCAGTAAGTGTAGCAAATCTCTCGACCAGAACAACACCTGCTCCTCATGGTGTGAGGGTCGGGGGCCTATCCGCAAGGCCCCCGGCAAGCGACCTACAAGATATACCGTGAACTTTACAAGGGCTGAAGCTTTGCGGAGAGACAGCTATCAAGGTGCGCGGTCCTCATCCAACTTAGTTGGACAGTACCCTGTGCGCCTCCCACACGTTTTCTTGTGCGCCGCGCTCCGGCCACATGACCTTCCTTTTTT